GTGCAGTTTTTAAATTTAATGTTTCTTTTGGATACTGGACCTTTGTCGAGAAGTGTTTGGATACGACGTTTTTTTTCCGGTAGAACCTGAAACTTAAATTCCAAAATAAATTATGAGATAATGATCTAAATTTAAAAAATGAGATGTGGACAAAACACAACTTCCTTGAACGCCTACTTTTTTATTTTATTTTATACTATAAAATTTTTGCTAAACTTGTTTCCTCGAATTATTCTAACCTTATTAACCAATTCCTCAAAACAAGGTGAACTTCTTACAATTTTATTTTTTGTAACGATAGTAAAATTTTCCAAATTTCAGAAACCGGGAGGTCGCATTAAAAAGTAGATTTCGCTGTTTGTCAGCTTTTTTTTTTTTTTTAATTTGATATTGCCGAAACATAAATATTTTCGTGATTTCAAATATTTTTTGTACTTGGAAGCACATTATTATGACCAATGATTGCGAAACTAAAGGCCGGATGAGGAATATTTTAAGCCGGGTAAGAGAGTGGGTATATATACATGTTTGGTTCTGCCTATTGCATTAAAAAAGCGGATTGAAGTTTTGTGTATAACACTCCCATACACAAAATTTCAACATTGTACAATTAACCTGTGATATACTGGCTGAAGCACAGTTTCTTGTAAGCTAGAATATTGAACAACTATGTTGCGATAATAAATGATGAGTGGGAACACCTTGAGCGTTGCACAAACGTAATATAATTTTTCTAGTATGAAACAAACAAAGTATGAAACATATAAAACAAACAAAGAATTAAAATACTTACCTGAATTAGCAATTCCAAAAGCTTTCGTATTGACTTTTTAATTACAGATGACTTTATTTACAAATTATACATTAAAAGCCATCAATAATTGAGCTAGAAAATTTTGTGAGAGATTCTAATTTTCCAATAAAAAATTTTAAAAATTAAGTATGAACATTTTTTCTGCGTCTCATCTTAGGATTTTTAAAATCAAACATGAATAATTTATAGATTTCCTCATATGCTTATTGTACATTTCAGTAAATTTTTCTCTTCCTAATTTCCCATCGATTTCTTGCATGACCTACTGCATTTCTTTTGATTGTCAAAAAGTATAAAATATCTGTAATTATAGTGCAGCCTTATTTGTTTAGGGAAAACGTAATAAGCTTGCACTAGATAATTGATGGACGTATTTTTTGTGTCTAATTTTTATGCATTATTCAATTTGTCTGATCTTCAGCAAGGAAATAATCATATACAATTATACTATCTAATTATACGTATCTAAATCTGCTAATTGTACAGAAGACATCTGTTGTTAAAAAATGGTTTTAATATTTTCCTAACAATTTTTTGTAACTTTTTTCCGGTTGTTAAATATACGATATCTTCTCTTTCAATATCCTTAAAACTTCTAAACTTTTAAACTAAATCTAAATATTTTTCTCCATGTACATTTTCAGCGTTGTTAATCGTAATTTAAAATTTTCCGAAGTGAATTCATTAAAGCATTAGTTTTTCCCGATATAAATTCCCCTACAAAAACAAGCTTGAATAGGCGGATAGACATGAGAGGGTATGATTCGGACTTGTAATGTTTTCCTCTTTATCATAATGTCTTATTTGATCTACTAGCAGCTACGCTGCCAGCTTTTGTCTGGTTTTTAAATGTACCGAAAAAATGCCTGAAGGGAACACCAAACGTTAAATTTAAGAACTGCGCAGAATTTTACTCTACAGCACAACATAAAACATATTTTTAAAAATAAAAATTTTAAAAAATGTATTACATATAACAAAACATATAACATATAACAAAATTACAATGAAATAAGTAATATCCATTAATACATATATTAATTATCCTAATAAATAAGTTAACCAACTTCCCGTTGCCTTCTCTCGACAAACGTCCAGTATCCAAGAGAAACATTAAATTTAAAAACTGCAGAGAATTATCGCCCTCATTTCTTCCAAATGGCAACAGTTCTGATTTTCAACAGCCAGCAGCATACAATTGAATGAAAAGCTGTTCTTAAAACCATATTTCTATAAGAATGGAAATATTCAAAATGAAGTAATAAAATCGAAAAGATAAAATTAAAAAAAAAAATCTGATTCCAATTTTGAAAAAATCGCTTCGAGACGCACTGGCTCTTGTCTAGATGCACCTACTATATACCACATTTCGTAGCGTTGGGTCTATTAGCTTACGCGCAGCACGAACGAAATACACACAGACTCTTTCTTTTATTATATATAGAGATTATACAGATATCATTTGTATGTTTTTTTGTTATTTATCTTTTTGATCTGTTCTTTCGGTATACGTTTGTATAGAAAGGAATGTTAGAATAAAGTAAATTTATTTTTGTTATAAACTAATGATACTTAAAAAGTGTGTATTTGGTGTGTGTATTTAATTATGGCAAAGCACGCTAGGGCTATCTGCCTGAGGGGAGGGATGCCTTTCGTGGAGGACTTTCTAAGGGAAACTGGCTCGTATACACGTTACACATGGGGAAAACCACGAAAACGCCCATGCAGCCAGCCCGTTCGCGGGATTCGAACCTCGGACCGAACTACCAGTGTTCAGCGTCTTTACCGCTCGGCCGCTGGTGGGCTGATACTTAAAAAGAAGAAAGAAAGTAAAGCATGAAAAAGATTTTAGAAGCCATAAAATGTACGAATTGAAACTTGATTTTTAATAAAGAATTAGATATTGGTTCTTTAGAAGAGTATAATTTAAATCTACTTTCAGAATTGTTTACTATTCTTAATGATGAAAATATTTGATCAAATGATGGAAGACAGTAACTTAAAAACAAGATTAGGTAAAGAAAGAAGCCGACTGAATAGCCAAATTTCTCTGGCTAAAAATTTGACTCAAGCTGAAATTCAGGAAAGAGATCTACTACAGAAGATAATGGTAAAAAAGAAAATGTTTTTGAGATGTGTTTGGAAAGCTTACATAAAATAAGAGGTTCTTCAAAACTGCTGATCGGTAAGGGCTTAGAAAATAGATTAGATCTTTTAAAGAAGGTAATTCAAAAAATTTGCAAAGGTTTTGAATGCAAAGAATAATCAGATAACAACTTGTTAAGAAATGGAAAAGTGGATAATGATTTTGTGGAAGAACATTATAATAAATTTCTTTCCATATTAATAAAACATGATTTTAAAATGAGCATTTATCTTTTTGATTATCAAGGAGAAAATATGAGAACAGCATATGAAAATGAAAAAGGTGCTTCTTTAAAATTCACACATGACGAGCCACCTAATTTTTGTATATTTTTAACAAAACTCATACAAAAAAAAATTCAAAATGGAGAAAGAATAACTTAATAAAGCAGAGATGAGCTACGGAACAAAGACAAGGAACAATCAGAACAAAGACGAAGGATTTCGCCTCTTTTAATTCTTGCCTAAATAGTGACTGCAAAAGTTGAAACATTAGGTGCCATAGGCGCAACGGCAGGTACGTTAAAAAACTTCTGGATTCGGAACCTTCTCAAAAATGCTTAATCTTGACTTTATATGGGCTTTACAAAATATGATAAATGAACAGCAAGAGGATTAGCCTTAAAATATTCCTGGAAAGGAGGTATTTCAAAAGTAAAATTTCCAACAAAATAATCGAAGATATTAAAAAAGTGAAAGAAAAAAGTTTAAAAGTAGGTTTTATTTCAGATCTAATGCCTAAAAGAATAAAAAAATTCGAAACTCTTAGGAATTTAGATATATCTGTAGGGTCCGGAATCCGTTGGTTTATTATTATAACCATCCGAACTATATTTTAGTTGAATATTTACATTCATTTGGTGACTACATGGAATTAAAAACCATTCCTGAAATTACAGTAAAGTATTGAAAACATCAGGGAAGAAATACTATGCAATGGCAGTGAACAGTGGGTTTTACAGTATGAAATATGTAATCGAAATAAATAAAAATAGATGTCCTTAAGAATGTTTAACTCTTGGAAAAACCAAACCATTCGTTAACATGTATGCTTAGAATACAGAAACTCTCGTCCCTCTCCATTACCGTCCATTAACGCACAAAGAGATGTGAAGATTTCAAATGACATCCTTTCTACTTCCTAGAAAGAAAGCTTCCATTACCCTTTTAGGGCACGTTGTTTGCAATAAACTGATACAATGCATTCGAAGAAATTGCATCTGCTACTGCATGCCTTAGAAAGAGGGAAGAAAACAACATCGCAATCTCGGTTCTTTCGGGCGGTCGTGGTCGTTTGAATGAAAGGCTTTTCGGGCGTTTTGGCTTTCAAAGGGTTAATTCTTTTACTCAAACCCCGACTGATTACAACGATTTTTTTTCTATATAAATGAAGTATTTATTTTTTAATTCAATAAATAAGACGGGAAAATTCAAGGTTGAATTTGCTCATCTGTTAACATTTTAAAACGTGGCACTTATCTTAGACAGTATTTAGCACATCTAGTAGAAGCAGACACTATCCTTCTTCCACTAAGGCAACCAAAGTAAAAATGCATTGTGTATTCGTTTTGCAAGTATATTTTTATTTTAAAACTATCTGGAACTAAAATTTCTAACATGGAATTTTAATATGCTTTCTATTTCGTTAATATATTCTTTCAAAGCATCAAATCTTATTTTCATGTAAGTGAATGTTACATTGAAACCATTTACGACAGTTACAGGCTGCTGTAAAACTGCATAAATGTGTTTCTTTGCATAATATATGTAATGTTGTAATTTTTCACCGTCTAAACAAAATAAGGATTATTTTTCTTAAGGTAATTTTCTGTAAACGATTAAATTTCAAGTTTTAATGCTATCATAAATTAATTTTAGTATAAATCAAAATAATCCCTTAATAATATTATTTAGCAAAGTATTTTACTGGTGTTGCTACTATTTAAAATCTCTGCATGAAGTGAAATTTCGAAGATTTCAACTTTAAAATTTTTAACGTTTTACTACTGATTTTCTAACAAATTCGTTTCTTCCAGAAATACCTGTCCCAATGCAAGCTGTATCGGGAGGGCGCCTGTCTCTGCCATGTGACATTACATCTCCGATTTCTGACGATGAGGTATATTTAGTACTTTGGTATAAGGATGAGGTAGCTACACCTATTTACAGTTTAGATGCACGAAGAGGCCAACTGGGTCAAGCTAGGCATGCTACAAGTGAAACTTTAACAGGAAGGGCTTACTTCAGCTCAGTTCCTCAGCCAGCCGTTCTACAAATAGACAAAGTATCACTGGAAGATGAAGGATTGTATAGATGTAGAGTAGACTTCAGGAAAGCTAGAACTCAACATTCTGCTCTATCCGTGACCGTTGTCGGTAAGTTAATTGAGAAACTGATTTTCATATATTTATTTATTCACAGAGAAATATTCATTTTAAAACTCCAGGCAGTAATTTTCACTAACAGTCAGAGCAATCTCACAAATTAAATGCCTTCTAATACTTATTTTGATTTAAAATGTAAAGAAGGTAATAAAACCATCATCTTAGAATACTTCCCGAATTTACTTTTGCGACCGAGTGTGCATAGTATAAATATTACATATTACATCTTTGAGTAACAGTACTCAATGAGTCAAACTGATGGACTTCATTGTAGTTCGAAACTTGATGATTCTTACTTCCATATTATTCCTTAGTTCTGGTATTTACATCCTGTTTTTTCACAAAGGACACATTCTATTAGCTGAAATAAGATTTTATATAAATGTCGAAATGAAAATTTTGAAGGTATTTTGAATTTTGTGCAAAATACTGAAGACACTAACAACTGATAGGTTTTGAAATAGATTTACTTACTAATTATTGTAAAAGTAACTGTGGAATTAAGTTATTATTAGATAAATTCCAATAAAAATGCACAAGAAAGTGTGCACTGCATATGAAATAATGGAAAATAATTAATAAAGTTTTCAAAAGAATCTCAATAACTTTTCGTCCTTCACCTTTCTGTAAAAATAAATTTTACAGAACCAAACAGAGTAATAAAAGAGTCATCCAGCAACCATTCCCCAGTACTGGAAAAACTTTAGCATTAAAATATGTAAGCATTAAAATATGCATAAGCTGAAATATCATGAAATAATTTTATCTTTCTGAAAGAGATGTTTTTAAAAACATTTAAGACATATTTTTTCCATTTGTTCTTTTTTAAACCAAAGCCACATAATTCTAGCAATTTTAAAGGAATAAATAGAATTGTGAACAATTAAAAACTTATTTTTAAATATATATTTTCATTAAACACTTATATTTTATACTCCTTTTTTAAACACGTAATTTTATAGCAAAATAAAATATTTAAAACTGTAGGCTTTATGTTTCAGATTGCGGTCTGTTACCTTGAACCGTTTACCAATAAAATTTCATAAAGTTTTAAGATGTGCACTTAAGAAAATTTCATATACACATGAATAGGAATAAAAGCAAACTGCAAGGTAATCACGGCATACAAAAATAAGAAATTAATCTATCAAGATATTAAATATATGAAACATTAAATCATATTTAAAATGAAGTGTTCGTATTCGGTGGTAAAACAAAATGAAAAATCGAACATTTTTTTATCATAAATTAACTCCACTCGGTGACTTATCCAGCTATTTAACAAAGCACTAACTTCATTTTTGAAGATATAGCTGTACATTTGTTTTACCTGATCGCTTGCGCGCGAGGCTTGAAACAAATCTTTCCTTAATGTGCAGAATTTCCCATTTTGTTAGGACGGGAAATCCGCAAAATGAAGACAGTAAACATCTCTGAAAGTTTTTCTTCAAAATATTTACGTATAAGAATACTTCTTGATACATATAATACCAATTCGTGGCCAAATTAATAACAAAGTTAGCATTTATGATTAAGGGGAAAATAAAATTTAATTGCTAGTAATTTTTTAACCTTGACTCAGGCTCGGTACTTTGAATTATTCCGGCGTTTCCTCGAGCGCTTGTAGAACATATTCCGTATCATGTGGTTAAGTTTATTAATTTTCTAAAGAGTTATGGAATTTAAGTTCAACCTGACACGACTTTCAAATCATATAAGCCGCTAATTTCAAAATAGTACAGAAGGGAAAACAGACGAAAATTTCCTTGACTAGTGATTAAATTTTCAAACACGTGTTCAGATAGCCTGTTTAATAAAGTTAGTTAATTTGATAGCTGGTGTGTTTACATTTACTGGATAAAACGCTATGGTAAACTCTATTTTGTTTAACTGAAGTTTAAGAGTTAAGTCTTTTATAGGATTGCTTTTCAGCTGGTTCTGTGCGGAATTCAGAGTGTTTCACGTAAAATTGCTAGAAGCTCCACAGAAGTAATTCGTAATTGACTAATCCTGTGTAATTCTTATGAAGGAGTTCTTTGAGTTATGAACAATATTTAAGAATGTAAAAAGCTGCTATAAAGTTAACAGCAAACTCAGAAAACTGTACTATTTTAAGATAAAATTTCAAATAATAATAATAATTCAAACTACTTTCAAATACTATACATTTTAGTTTTCAGGACTTTCCGTTTTACTTATAGATAGGGTGTTTATAACTAAAGTCCCACTTTCAAAAGGCTGCAAAGAAAGAACCACTGGTCAAAATAATGACCCGGAATGTGACTATGGATATATATGAAAAAGGGGTGATTTTTCTGGCGAAACAAACAAAAAAAAATAATAATACAAAATTTTATCAATATATGGCGCTTTACTTTATCAGGTATTTCTCCCGCCTTCTTAGCGAGCCTTCGTGGTGTAAAATTGCATATATCTGTTTTTAGAAATATTTAAAATTTTCTAGATACCTCGATGCATGGATTCCTTTATATTTTTATTCCCATTATTTATATATTTAATTTTTTGCTTCTACAAAAAAGAGGAAAGTTGTTGTTTTCGTAAGTTCAAAGAATAATAAGCCTATGGGGAAGCAACAGCAATTTTTCCATTTTTTTTAACTTTTAATATAAATTAATCTTACACAGTAAATAAAAACAATTATATATTTTACTAATATAAATTAATAAAATTTAAAAAATTAAATCGTAAATTAAAACAAATTAAATAAATGATTTGCAAATATCTCTACAGTGCCACCCGAACTAAAAAAAAAGAGGTGGTGGATGATGATTCTCCACTAGCAGGATCTGCCGATTCAGTCCTCTAATACTCAGTCGCCCTCTAAAAGGGGGAGTATATAAGGTATTTCTCCCACCTTCTTAGCATGCCTTCGTAGTTTAATGGTCAGCACATTCGGCGCGTATTCGAGAGGTCCGAGGTTCGAGATCCAGCGAGGGTATAGCTCAAGTTTCATGTCTCCTACTTCAAAATAACCTACTGTCTCTGCAAGGTAATAATTTTATTACTATTGCGTTCTCTAAAAACTTTTATGGTTTATTCATAATAAAAAATATTAAATTATGCTGAAAAATATCATTATAGCATAAAAATGAAAATATATATTCATATTTTCAAGCAACGTTTTAAATTTAATACATATTTGTCATGTATAGATGCAAACAATTTTGTTAGAAACAGTCATTTAAGGAAAAGAAGCTTTCCGTCCACGGTATAAACTTTCTTCCAATATGACTGTTCTGTCCACATACCCCCCTCTCTTAAATATGAATAAGAATTTCCATCCCACGGGACATCAGTATGAAGAAAGCCAGAGCATGATTCTAGTGTGCTAAAAAATTGCTGTATTTTCAAAGCAGGGTTTTCCATTAGGATGCGAACTACTTACTTGAAATAAATTCGCAATTTCAGAAAACGGCGTAAGACATAGTTTATTCTCTTAGTAGCTTTTTTTTTCTGATTTTCTTGATTTTCATTTCTTTTATAAAAATATTTTGCTAAAATAAAATGTTTGAGACATATGTAGAGTGTAATTATAGTCATGAAGAATGTCCTCACAAGTGTTAAATTTTATTATAGTATTAAATTGATGATGTTTTAACTGGTTTTTATTACTGTTAAAATCCAAGAAATCTCATCTAGAACAAAGCATGAAAGAACAGTCTGAAAAAAAATGAATTTTTAATTTTCCTAAGGACAAATTAGCAAATTTGTAAAAAGTGCCAAGTTCGAGTTCCTTTATTCAAATTTTTGCATGAAGTCCCGCGTACTCGGAATACACTAGTCGAAAAATGTGCAGTGCCTTTCGAATAAGCGTCGAGTATGCTTCGAATTACACCAGACGCAGGAAAGAGGCAAAAAGTACCTTATACGTAACAGGTACTAGTTATGTATGGTGCTACTTTGGTAGACGGTTGCACGGATTTTTGGCGATTTACGTTGGCGCAATTGTTGGCGCGGGTTTTACAATCGTTAGCCATCTTGAAAAACGCTGTTTTTACGTATTTTTTGCATAGTAAAGTATTCAAACTTTAAAAAAATAGATATCGTTAAAAATAATGGATTAATTTTTTGTTGAAAATGTTGTTTTTTAAGATAGCAGGCAAATGTAAATAAATGCATTTACTATGAGTACAAAATACTAAAGTAAGGTTAAATTGTTACTTTCATATAGCAAAGAAATAGAATAAAAACACAGTTATAAAAACATTGCACCAATGTTTAATTGGATTAAAATATTACTTAAATTGGATATCGAATTAAAAACATCATACCAACTTTTAAGAGAATTAACATATTACTTAAATTGAATATCGAATTAAAATCATCATACCAACGTTTAAAAGAATTAAAGTAGTACTTAAATCCAAATTCTTTAAAGTAAGTTTTATAGGATATTATTATTTAACAGTAAAACATATGTAGCAATAAATATCTCGGCAATTTTTTAAAATAGTGTGTTAATTTTTAATAAAATTTGAGGTATAAAAGTAAAAGGAAAATATGTACTTAAATTTTTTGAGTATTTAACCTTCCATACATTGATAAGTACCACAAAAAATCGGAATCATAATTAAGATATCAATGAAAAAAATTTGAAAAATGTAATATAACTTTTAAAATGTAATCTAAGGAATTAATCTAATCTAAGGAATTAATCTAATCTAAGGAATTAATCTAATAAAATTTTTAAATGGCGCGGTAATGCAAAAATATTCTGTAATCAATCAGGAAGCTAATTACATCAAGAATAGAATTAAAATTATTAAATAATTTACATAATAAAATCATTTAAAAAAAATGCAAAAATTAAAAAATTATTAATAGTTAACAGCCATAAATAATGTTTAAAAATTATATTAAATTTATAGATATTAAAACCAATTACTTTTAAGGGGACGTCATGATTACATCATCCACAACATATAAAATTATTTAAAAATTATAAACAATAAAATTTTTATTTCAAATAA